CAAAGAGGTTAATTATTTTTTTCAACATATATACAGGAGCTAGTAAATGCATACTAGGTATATAATTTGATTGATTTCTATGGTAATTAGTGATAAACTACAAGAAGTCTATGCATGGAGCAAAAAATTATCATCATATTACGATGCACGTAATATAAAAAAGGCAAATGACTTTTAAGTATGTCAACTTTTCTTGAAACATAAGATATGTTTTCTTGTCTACTGTATGTATTCACGTAATAATAATTAAAATTACAGTCCTTTTCAACTGCTTATGCTTTATTTTACTGCCCTGTTTACGACTTTAGCACAATTAACAATTTAATTAATTACAGTAGGTGGCAAAAGTAGTTTTGTTGCATTTGAATGAACATTGGAGAATCTTACAGATTAAATTTAGTTTCAATAGCTAGGGGATGGGTTTATCTAATACTATCAACTCATCTAAAAAGTTAAGTTATATACATGTATTTTTTTTAATACCCAACTCTAATTAAATATTTCACTTTAATTCGAAAAAGAAAAGTGAATAAAATTTAAGCTCCTGACTTTCTTATTAAATCGACTCTTAATGTAATGTTAAAAGACCAAATTAACCAAAAACATGATGATTAGGATATAAGATTGGTTTATATTCTATTAATTTTTATCTTTACCCTTCTCTATTACTTCAACTTGTCCTAGCTCGTGACTTAGCTAAATAATCACTAACTCCATATTAAAACTGTGATAATAATTGGATGAAAGAATAAAAAAAAATGACACAAAATACAAAGTTGGCAAATGATAATGGTCGGCGGGTAAAATCGTTAATGTCCGTTAAGAATATAAGGAATTGGGTCTTCACTTTAATGGACCACTCCTCGGCGACCCCGGAACAAATAACTCGTCAATCACTAAACTATTACTCCTACGCATTACCTTAATTAGTAGCCTGACCTATGTATCCTACGCCAAGCTTTTTATTTAGTTAGCTAGCTAATAATATAAATACATAATCTTAACCTAAGCTAGGTAGCTAGCTAGTTTAGTGCCATAATTATATTTTAAGTTTAGACTTTATATTATAAATTATTAATACTATTAATTACTAGCTAGTTGTGAGCTTATGATCAAGGAATATTTGTAAAATTGTAGATATATTACTTTGTGATCGACTATTGGATGCACGTAATTTAGGCATTATACTTTTCATCAAGGTTTATCAAACTATCATACACGCACATACATAAGGTTTCATTTTTTATTTATCTTATTGCTCTTTATTCTAGTAAATACGAATTACAACCCAGAATAGTACGCTATACGTACCTATTGATTGAAAATTCACTGGAAATATTGATAACATCAAGAAAAATAATAATGGATAACTAAAGACAGATTCGAAAGGATGATGCATGCATGCAATGCACGGGTTTTATGAAGTATATACATGGATGCTAATACATGTGTTCGGATTAGGGTTTAACAACCAACGATATTGGTTGTGCCAACTCCATCCTGGCCTATACGGTAGAGAATGACCCATATGGCCATATACATGCCACCTTTAATTTGCAGAATACAAATCAAATATCTCTCTATTAAACTATCCAAATAAACACATATGTTAGTCTCAATAATACAAGTAATAAAAAGTGGTTAATTTCATATATGATTGTGTTTTACAATTAAGAATGATATTTATCACGGATAATTATAAAGTAATACAACTACGAGTAGTAAAAAAACAATAAAGAGTCATCGATATTTATCTATGTAGAAACTTTTGGATCAATGATTAGTTGTTGATAAAGAAGAATCAAGATTAGAGGCAAAGGGGTCAGGTCAACTCAATCTAGGCACATCGAAACAATAATATTTATTGATATAGAAGAACATGATCATGAGTTTAGAGTTCATGTAGTAGATCAATACAAATTATATATATTGCATAAACTATTACAAGAATGTGTAAATTGAGTTGCTAGATACATTGTACTTCGAGTCTGTTTATTACACGGATTTAATTATTGAGATCAGCCGTTTTGTCTTTAAGTATTAACCTTTTTTAAGCAATTTTATAATCTTTTTCTTAATTTGTTTTTTGTCAGTTTTCTATAAGTGAGGGAACCAAGTAATACATTAACATCAAAAAAGGAATCCCATTGTTGTGTTTATGATACAATCATTAATGATGTGATCTATTGTCTGTATTAGCTAATTTATATCTTAATCACAATATAAGTATATAACATTAAGCTTCCTGCATGATTATTAAAGACAAAAAGACATTGTAATTTTTTCTTCAATTGGCTTGATGATGATGATCTATACTTGTAGTAACTTGTACTTAATTTATGTAGTATGGGTTTTAAATCTTTTTAATGATTAAAACAATTATAAGAATGTTAATAAAAGTAAATGAAAAGCTAGTTCATACTTGTGTTATTTAAATTGTAATGTTATGATATATTGTATACAGTATACGCTATATTAATTAATTACGAATTAAAAAATAACAACAAAGTCAAAAATATATTTAATTTCTTGAACTTTTAAAATGTTTACAAACCTTAAAACAAAGTGTTTTTATTGAAGTACTTATTATTTTGATTTCTTAATTGTGGAATATGATGCAACCTAATAACACTTGATAAAAAAAAAAAAAGCCGTATTAGACTAAAATAAACTCAATTATTAACATCTTTCCTTTGTATGTACAAAACAGGAGTAGGCTTCAATTTGATGCTACCCTATTCTAGATTACAACACTGTATAAGGTGCCACAAAATAATAAATATGACATAGATGACATTATTATATCTCGAGGTCACTTTTTACAAACTTATCTATGAGATCTAGATAAGCTCGATCATTTATATTACTTAATAATCCTAATTAGGGACTTAGGGTACCACTATATATCATTATTATCATCAGAAAAACAACTTGGTCCTATCCATCATATCATGCAAATACAAAGCACATAGTACACTTTAAAAAAATTCAAGCTATGCTAGCTGCGGCGACGTCGAACAAGTTAAACATTTTTTTCAAGGGGGATAAGGAGCCGGCGGGGCTAGCTAGCTAGACCATAGTACAACAACATACATTATTTAACATCAAAATTAATGGTAGCATTGAATAATTCACATATATAAATTTGAATGGTCTAGGTTTTGTTATTAGTAGCAAACAAAAGTATAAGAAACACATGCAAAAGCATAAGAGTCCATGCAAATAAAAAGACAGAAAAAGAATACAAGAAAATAATAAGAACGTACAAGTCAACAAACAATGTGGGTTTAGCTTAAGTTTGTCACATAGTGAAAACTAAAGAATATGTGCGCATATAACTATATAAGTCAGCCAAATATGTAGTGCCTCGTCCTACTTTTCTTGGGCAGTTAACTTTGCCATTTGCGCCTCCCACCTACGGTATATATTTCTCATTGTTGCAATTATATATGCTCATTTTTTAATCCATTTTTAATAAACTAAGAAATTCTTTAATTTTATCCATAATATAATATATATATAGCTCAAATTTTTATTTTGATACGAGTATATAGTTTAAGATGGTTAATTAGCCGTTTACTTTTATGCCGTAAGTCCGAATTTGTGGACTTCAATTCGCGAGTAACGATGTTTTGATGATTAATTATACGAATATCAACAACATTCTTTTCATGATTTTACATAAACCAATAAAGCTTTAATACAATTTTTATATAAGCAAAAAATCAGCATGTATATCCACTTCTTTATACCCATGCATAAGATCTTATGTTCATATTTTGTTCTTTTTTTTTTTGACTTATCTAAACAAAATAAATTTAGTCAAAATAAGTTGAAGACAAAATGATTTCTTTAGACCATTTCATACACAAATAAGTTTAATTATTAAGACAAATTATATTCATCAACACAAAATAAGTCTATATATATATACATACAAGTTTAGCTTAGATAGATCCATGCAAATTTAATTGAATATAATTTTATTGACCTTGTTCATTTAACATGATTTATACTATGGAGAAAGAAGTATATCGCCATATATAATTAATTATATTATATTACTCTAGTAATTTTGTTTTCTCCATTTATTGTGGTATGTATTCTAAGTCTCATATTAATTTGAAGTTTTTTTTGTTTATAAAAGTTGGAATGATTTTTTATATTTAATTAATGGAGTAGAATGTGAATTTTAGGGGGATATCAAGGTATGAGATTCTAGGGTTACAGAGTGAAATAATTTAAATTCTGTTGGTATGAGGTTCAATTCCATACCTAATGGCCTAACCAAACAATAAAATAAATGGATTAGATTTAAACTAATTCCAAAATGTCCGAGCAAATGACGATTCCCGAAAAATTTACTTAAAATTCGAATTCAAAGTAAGATAAATAAAATAGAATGAAGGAACGAAGATACTAAAACTTTGGTTGACCTTTATTTGGAACAATAAATACTATATAGACTATAGGAGTACAATTGTACAAATGTACAATATATTATCCCAAAATTAAACAAGAATAAAATTTCAAAACTTCGGGTCTGTTCACATTTACTTAATTTCAGTTTAGTTCAGCTCCTAATTTTCCTTTCTTATAAAATATTCATTTCAGCTCAGTTCATTTCAGTTCAACTCCAATCAGTTCAGCTCCAATCAGTTCAGTTCAGCTCCAATCAGTTCAGTTCAGCTCAGCTTAGTTCACCTGTTTGATTCACCTTAATTTTGCTGAACTGAAATTATTTTTACTGAACTGAACTTATTTTTACTGAACTTAACTTAATTTTACTGAACTGAAATTATTTTTACTGAACTTAAATTATTATTACTGAACTGAAATTATTTTTACTGATTTTCTATTATAATTTTTCTTTAAGAAAACTGAATTTTACTGAACTGAACTTATTTTTACTGAACTGAAATTAATTTTACTGAACTGAATTTATTTTTACTGAACTGAAATTATTTTTACTTAATATTATTTTTTTTAAGGTGAAGAGAACAGGGCCTAAATGTGAACAAGTCCTTAATGTCCAAAAAGAATAAATTTCAAAAATTCATGTCCAAACTTAATTAAATGGATGGATTAATTTAAAAATGCTGACTTAGCTTGTGAATAAATTTAACAATTCGACAAAACTGCGTAAAATGGGGAGACCTTAGTCTAGCTTACCATACTCTTAAACATGTATTTACCATAAAACATTAATTACCATATAAAATTACCCTGTTTTACCATATTAAATTTAGAAATTATTTAAAATCATGACCAACCCGCCTTAAATTATTATTCTATCTAAAAATATTTATTCCTTTCCTTTATTAACTCAATAAATAATAAATTAAAATAAAATCCGCCCCTTCTTTTTTGTCCTTATTTGCACCTTCCCTTTTCACACTTCACAGCTCTATAAATTACTCATCATCTTCTCCATCCTCCATCCTCCATCCTCCATCCCCTACTTTCTCTCTCTCTCTCTTCAACTTTCTCTCTCTAATTAACTCTCTCTTAATTACAATTAAACTCTTATTAGCAGAGATAATCAACAATACAACAATGGAGGACATTGATTCTTTCTGGAGTTTTCCTGAGGTGGGTTTTTCTTCAATTTCCCCTGTTTTTTTTTTTTTAACTAAATTTGACATTTTGCTGAAATTTTTAGCTTTTTTATTTTAATTGCCTGGTTCATTGTCTAATATTCTGAAATTTCAATGAATTGATTCATTTTTCTCATGTTGGATAATTTGTGTTGTCATGACATTGTATAAAATTCGGAAGTATTAAGCATTTATTACAGTAATTTAAATTAATTCAAAATTATTATAGGTTAGGAGTATCAATTACTTGTATTATTTTCAGTGGTTAGCTTAAATATTAAATGAATTAAATAAAAACTTAAAAAAAAAATTAAATAAAAGGGTTTTCTCTAGGTACTATTGATGATGATCAGTGATAGTGAAACATTGGCATTTTACAGTGAAATGAAGAGAAAAATAAAAATAAAATGTGTCCATGTTCTTTGGATTCTGATCAACAGTACAATTAATTTCTTTCTTTTTGTTTTTTATATGTACTTTGTATGTCCAATTCATAACGGAAAAAAATTTGAGTTTTTTACTAAAATGAACTTTAAATCTTTTTTCATGGGGTCCCTTTGATTTACCCATCTCCCTAACTTTACAAAAGGTTTTTGTTTTTTTTCATAAAAATCCCCCCTTTTTTTTTATAATTTGTTCATGTAATTTATTATTATTTATTTTACTAATTTGCCCCTTTTTTTTTCTTTGATTTTACAGAGTGTTGTTGAGTTAAAACAGAAGCTTGAATACAAGACATATGAGTTAGAAATGACAAAAAATGAGACAAATGAAGAGATAAGGAAGAGCAATGAGCAAATCAAGAAATTGCTTCAGCTTTTACAAACAGCTTACAAAGAAAGAGATGAAGCCAAATTTCAATTACAAAAAGTCCAACAAATCATGGCATTTAACAAACCAAACAACAATAACAATGCTATTGATCATTTTATTCCAACTACAAATTCCTCTGCCTTTTTGGCTCCTCCTTTCTCCCCTGATAGCCCTCTATTGTTAGCCAATTTCGCCGTGACGAAAGCAAACTCAACCATAACTGATTCAAGCAGTTTTTCCTTAGAAACTCACACTACCAACAATCACAACAATTTTAGCCATCCTCACTCTCTTGTTTCATCTCCAGCTGCTTCGTCTCCGGACTCGAGTAACAATGTTTTTAGTACTCCTCCTACTCTTTCTCCTAAACCTACTCCCAAAAAAATTGACCAAGAATCATTGATCATTGCAAATTTAGCCAAGGGGAAAGCGCTCCCACCAAAGGGGAAGCTCTTACAGGCCGTGCTCGAGTCAGGACCACTTCTTTCGACATTGATGGTAGCCGGTTCACTTCCCCAATGGCGGAACCCCCCAGGTGTATTGACTCATCATATACCTCCTGTTAACCTTAAAGGGTGTGGGGTAGTGATAAATCAATCTCCGGGAGGTTCTAAATTTTGCCCGTCTCAACCACCACAAGCATCTAATGTATCGCCGCAAATTATAATGCCTAATAATGTTACAAATAGTTATGTCGTCAAAGGGGTGGGTAATTCAGAGTTGTACAATAATTCTAGTGGGTCATTTGGTATTTGTACAAGTCCAATGTTGGATTTTGGGAGTGGATCATCTGGGTCTTGTTTGATTGGTAGTAGAATGATGATTAATCCTAACGTTGGATTTAATTGTCAGATTCCTAAGAGGCAGAGAATAATTTGAAAATAATTTTTGACTCTTTTTCTTTTTTCCAATATTTATTTTATTATTATAATTATTATGTATATTTTGGCTGAACTGCTTTTTTGTAAATAAATGATGAATTGTTGCTTAATGACTTAATTATTACTAGTGATTTTGGTCTATAGAAATCTTGTTTGATTATTTGTATTTACTATTTAGTGAAAAATCATCCTGATTATTTTGCAAATAATATAGGCTCTTGGTTCTTTTGTATAATTGGCATTGTCTTATATTATGCCTTAAGTTAACTTTGAACCTATGGACTATGGAGTAACATTTTTTAATGAACTTTGACCATATTTAATTCATAATAATGCAAGCTCATCAACATCCTTAATAATATTTGTCCTTTTAATTCCTGCGTTAATACGTGTAATTTCATATAAATAAGCAAAAGGCTTGATTACCATTTTTAAAACTGCTAAGTTTTTATATAGAAACATTGATACTATGACATTATTATGGTCTATTGATCCTTGACCTCCATATATATACATTTATATTGATTAATTATATCCTTATTTTTAAAGTACGTACGTAGTAAAGAACCTTAAGGCATGAGGCAATATCTTGTTTATTTAAGTTATGTTCATGCCAAGGCTTTAAAACTAATTTGGTATGATGATGAAAGCAATAACCTTTGATGGTGTCAAACAAACGCCTCGCCAACACTTGTAACATGTCTAAAACTCACACATTCATCACTTTTGAGATATGACCATTTAGTGTTTTGACACTAACAAAATTTAATTATCTTTGTGATGAGTCTCCTTCATGATCAAAAGAGAACGAACACACCTTTTTTTTTGTCAATATTTGACCATTAAATCCATTGTAGCATCACATCAACAAGTTATACATTAAATTGAACACAATTTACCCATTCAATTGCTAATATCTTTATAAATCAACGATAAATCAAATCCAAACCGAACTTTACATTTCTTGTCATTTAGAATAGAGTAACCAAAAAAAAAAAAAAAAAAACCCAATTTTATATGCACGCACATCACTCCGGTCATATTCCGATCAAACCCCATGGAATCAAACTCATTAAGCTAGAAGTTGTGCATGGATCGACCTTACTCTCACAAAAATTTGAACTCATGAATCATGCATTCATTCATGTTTCAATATAGTAGGTTCGACCGTTGGAATACATATATATTTTTTGTTCTTTTCTACTAATTTTGCTAGTTTGGAACTATAAGTGGGGTCATAATAGAAAAATATCTTTCCATAAACATAAGAAAAAAAAACACCCCACAATATTGCATGACCAATTGAAAGGGCCGGCTTTTAGTGGCAATATATTATGAGCAAAGACAGAAAAAGAGATATAACGACAATGTTTATTTGCTCCATTTTCTCCTTGCCGTCGTAGACCTACTTACACACCCAACTTCATTGACAATTTTATACTCCTACTCCTAATCTTCTACAATACTTCTGTATTTTCATTTGGATAATAAGAATCTTCTTAAAATAATTTCACTACTGTTTTATATACTTGCAACGTGTTCCTTTTAAATATCGAGTTGCAAAATGCAATATGATCTAACATTATTTTACCTTATCAGTTGTTATTTTTATCTACTGTGTATATGTTGATTACAACATGATGAGTTCTTTCTATCCTCTTCTTTACAAAATAGGAGAAGCATTTATTATAAGTTTATATATGGAGTACAATAGTACATGGCTACATGTAGTAATAGCAAAAAAATATGATAGTGAGAAAATGATATGTTAGCCTTAGTTAGGGCAATATGTTTGACCAGTTTTTGTCATAAAAGTAGAAAAAGACCCATATATTTAGTAGTTTCAAAGCTGTTTGACTGGTCAGGATGATAGTTGGAGTTTGGTCTGACTTGATCGATGTGGGAACAAAAGTGCTACTTCTTCTCCGAGTTCCATCTTTGGCCAGTATATGTCTTATACTTTGTATGTCTAAAGTAATCACTCTAATCAGTATTATAGGCTTAATTTACGACCGTTTTTGTTAAACCTCTTTTAACTTTACAATTACATTAGGCTCGTTTACAAGATTATATTAGAGCTCCCTCCCTTTGTCTTATTATTTTTTACCCCTTTTTGGTTTAGAACTTTTTTTTGTTGTAGTGTGCTTTTACTACTTTTTTGCGTCTCAATTTTGCTCATGCATGTGCCAATTACAAGTAATTTTTTTTTTGTAGAAGACTGAATTGTTTATCCTTAGTTTTATGCTTGAATTACACTAGTTGTACAATAGTAAGATACCTTTTATGGACGTTAAAATGGAGTACTATAAAAGGTATTTACAAACTCACTTTGTATCCCCAATCAGAACGTTTTGAGGGTAGAGGTTTTCCTTATCTTTTCCCCCACTTATAAAGTGTCTAGTTCAAATATTCGATTAGATTGACTTGTAAAAGATTTCGGTTCCACAAAACAATTTATTTTACCTACATTCTATAATCCTTCACTAATACTTGTAGGGCTTGTTCTGATATGATTATTTACAGTTCAGTTCAGTTTTAATAAGTTCAGTTCAGATCTAATAAGTCCAGTTCAGTTCAGATCTAATAAGTTTAGTTCAGTTCAGCTTTAATAAGTTCAGTTCAGCTCTAATAAGTTCAGTTCAGTTCAGTTCAGGTCAGCTCCTATCTCTTATAAAATATTCATTTCAATTCAACTCAGTTTAGCTCTAATAAGTTTAGTTCAGTTCTAATAAGTTCAGTTCAATTCAATTCATCACTAATAAGTTCAGTTCAGCTCAATTCAATTAAGTTCAGTCACTTAGAACATACCCAACTCTTCTACAACTCCTATAATCTCAGGAATACAACTCAAATTCTTATACAGGTAGAATGTTACTATCAGGCAGAAGCACGTGCCATCTACCAATGCTAATAGTCTAGGTCTAGCAAATACATAATACATTAGCATGTGCCATAATCTACGGTCCTTAAGCCACGTGTCATGTAAAGAAAATGAGAAAATAAAGAACACGTGGCTGACCCTTATTGTTCGATAAAATGTGAAGAGACCCTACATAAATTGGTGGGCCCCATTAGAAAGTGCAACAAAGTGGGACCCTTCAGGCTACAAGCTACAGGCAGGCTGCAAGACTTGGAGTTGGGATGGCTAACACGGCTATACCACCCCATGTGCAGCCGCACAACAGGAGACGGGTACCTTAATAGTCTTGGATTAGGCTTTATTCTTGGTCAAATTCGATTATTCACATCGTCACATGATTATTTTATTTTTCTCAATATTTGCTCCAGTAGAAATTTAGAATTAGGTTACTTAATTTCCTTTTCTTTTTTTTAAGAAGATGAGTGTGCTGTGTGCAATAAAAATTGTTAAAACGAGTGCATGGTAAAGATATGCTTCTTTTAAAATAATGTTAAACTCAAATTCATTTGTGAGTGTTTTATATTAGAGAAAGTATTCTTTCAAAAAAAAAAAATTATTATTAGAGAAAGTAAATAAATAATTTCTTTTTATAATGGTGGATTAAACTCTCCACCTCCTTGTTTGAGTTGCTCAAACTCATTTCATATTATCTTGAAATTTAACATAGTATCAGAGGGCTCCGGCTGCGAGTCTCTTCTAAAATAGGACCCTAAGAGGATTATTGATCAAACTTGGACACTCGCAATCCACGTTATAAGGTAAAGGAGTTACTCATACTATCACGGTATCACCAATTGATTTTCATATAGAACCTCTTTGGCCTTATTTGTGGACCAAACTTTCCTCCTCCTCGTTTGAATGGTCTAGGCCCATTTCATATTATCTTAAAATTTAACAAATAATTACTTCCTTTGTTCCCTTTTTTTTTTTTTTTTTTTTTTTTTTTGTCCCATTGCAATTAGATTATGGGTCAGATTTAAAAAGTTTGACTATAAATTTTAATTAATTGATAAGAAATAATATAGTCATGTGCGATCTATTTAGATTCATTTAATTGTATATTTTATAAATATCAAGTTTTTTTAAAAAAATATTACGCATATGAACATAAATAACAACTATGATTAATTTTCTTTGGCCAATCTCAAGTAATATTCTCTTATCATAATTATCTTCTAGTTTTAACTTTTATTCCGTAATTATTTTCTTGATAAATAATTACAGTAAAAGCTAAAAGTTATTACAAAAAGAAAACTCCATGAACAAGATTATACTTGTGGTTGTAACAAGAAAGTAATCATATCTTATTATTATAGCATTAAAAGCTAACAACATGAAGGCATTATTGGATCAACTCATAAAAGTTTTTGGTACGGCTTTAAGCATAAAATCAAAAGGTAAAAAACAAAGGTTGGTCGTTCTAATCTCTTAAACTTTATCGGTTATAATTTTACCCCAAAGTTTAAATGTTCATTGCAACTTTTAATTAAGTGATTATTTTACGATTTTTACCCCAACCGTATTTGTATTATATAATTGATCAAATATTATGATTGAACCGACAGGTAAAGTCGTTACCCGTTTAAGGGATCCAAGGGGACGAAAGTGGAGCCTGTCTTTACTTTTTTGGACCATTTTTGGTGCTTTAATTATTATTAATAATAAATTAATCTAATAAAGATTTACTTCGAGTAGAAAAAGTTGCACCTACGCTGCCTATATTTGTATGCCTACCTAGCTAGGGCCCTTACTTAACAGTTGAAGACCAACCGCTAACGCCTACTATGCTCAGTTGGTTACTACTCCCCTAATCTCTAATTAATTTTTGCTCCGTTAATTTACGGAGTAATTGGGTCAAACTTTCAATTTGGATAATATAATCATTTTAAATCTTGTTGGATTTGTTTCATCGTATATTTTATTAATATTAAATTTTTATAACTTTTATGCGTATGGAAATAGAGTTAAATAATACTCCATAATCTTTTAACACACAAGTCCTATAGTCTGTTCTAATTGCATGAACTAAGCTGAATTGAACTGAATTTATTGGAGTTGAAATGAACTGAACGAAATATTTTAATAAGATAAGAACTGAATTGAACTGAATTGATTGGAACTGAAATGAAACCGAACTGAAAATAAGGTGAAGAGAATATTATAGGCCCTTAGAGATCGTAAATAGCCAAATAAGGCAA